AAAAGTCTTCTTCTTTTACTTTCTTTTTCGTCGTCGTAAATTGTGGTGTTTGGTCTGCATTCGACGCTCTTCTCGTTTTCCGAAATGGAGGGTACATTTTGGCCAGCAAAAACCGCCCGGGATACAGTGGGCTCAAGCGCATTGGCACATTAATAATCGTCGCCAAGGCACTAATCGTTACAGTAACAGCCGCCGCCGTCACTGGTGCTCGTTCGTGTCGTTCAACACAAAGACGAGCCGGCCGCGTGTTCACCAACGCAGTCATATTATATAGTGCGCGATACAAATTCGCCTTTCTTCGGACGATGACAAATGTGAACGCAGCCAGCCAGCCAACACTCCGTTGAGTGCCGAATGCGAAACGATCAACGCGGATCGCACAATCAATTGTCTCCATCCTGACGATTCGACATTTACCACCAGGGACCTCATAAAGGCCTCTTACCGTGGACAAGCATTTCATAGCCTACCTGACTGTAGATAGCTCCCTCACAGTAGAAGGGTTTGTGAGACGTGCTGTCTGCCAGCTGATAGACAACCGACATCCGCACTGGTTTATCTGAAATGAAGGTGAGGCTGCCGAAGGCAATCACAGCGCCCGGCATTGCTTCAGCATAATGAATTCTGAAAGCTGCATGACAATGCTCCATATACTATGTCGGCCGCGATTTCGTGATGCGACGACATTATGGCTGTTTGCTCAGCTTATGCAATAATGGCCTAATCACTTATGCTGCCATCGTCCCACAATTGACGCCTAGTTACAAGCCGCATGCGTGACGCAGCTCTTAGCCAGAACAATATTCTCATCGCAATATGTTCCCATGCATACATTCGGATTTGAAAAAAAGAGAATGAAATTGAGAGCTATCGCAGGATAAGGGGGCATCCCTCTAAACTGAGCCCAGGGAAGGACAGGAACTTTGGGAAAAACGGAAACTTCTCAAGTCTCTCCTCCCCGCCTGAAGCTTCTCCTCTTTTTCTCCCTTACTGGAAAGGAGATTTTTTAAGCGCCCAATTCCGAGATGCATTGCCACCATGATGCCCCCGTATTTTGCGAGGCCTAAATTGTTTCCTTCTTTAAATTCCGTGGATAATTGTGAATATTCGCCAAACTTCATTAATGCATTACTGAAAGCAGCATGTGGGCTACGGTGCAATTTGACCCGCTACTCCTTAGAGCGACGAGCATAAAGAGCTTATAGTCGAAATTCGATATGATAATTGCATTAGAGCGAAAGGCAAATCAGAGACATCCGTTGCTCATTACTGGGCCAGTTTTAAGCGACACAATCAAGCTGAAAATGTCAGTAATACAACTCTTTGTACATAAATCTCTAAATTTGAACAACACGAACTATCTGAAAAGCTTCTTTCAAAGATGATAAAGAAAGGCTTCGGATATTACTTGAGGGTTATGCTAGCAGACTGCTTGTCAATTAGGAAATCAGGATGCAGCAAACTTGATTTTGGTTTATGTTCATTCGTGAAAAACTACAAGGATAATGATCGAGCATTAACCACCGCTTACAAACGAAAGTTAAGCAATTAACGAAACCTTTATCTAAAACGACGCAAAATCGTATCCTAATGGCATGCTTAACCTATGACCGTGTGTTGGGTAAGTGCCGGCCGATGGTCTGAGTTAGCATTTTTGTACTCCCAAACATGAGTACTACTCATTAAGTAATCTGGGAGATGGAAGTCGTGATTCGATTAGGTTAAGTTCGAGTCCAGTGCCTGCGTAAGTGAACTACATCAACCTTCCTGCGCCACATATAGCCCAGACTGAGGCAGAAACCACTCGAAGGGAAGTAATAGTATACGCGCCACAACTACAAAAAAAAGAAAATATAGCGCAGATCATCGTTTGTGGTGATACGCTTCTGAAAGTTGAGTAAACTACAATCCTGTGCGAGCCGTCAAACTAAAAAGTTCCTTCAATTAACCGGGTCCGGAAAAACAAATTCTTCGATATACCTTTGCATTTTTGGGCTTCGAAGACAAGTAACTACCATGCTTTCAAAAGAAAACGACGATATTGTCATACATTAGTCCGCTGCTAAATAATGTTGCCAACTACACGAATCTCGAAGCACAAACAAACTAACACGACTTAAATAACTGCATTGTAATGCTAAACGCCTCGACATAGTCAGTAGTTTTCGAACGAGTTCGTACCTCGGCGTCCGCCATTCGCAATCACAGACGTGAATCAGAAAGGGATCCGTATTCCGGAAGCGATATTGTAGCTCGGCATGATCCAGTATCGTCTTCCAGCCTTATAAAAGCTCTGTTCCAGTGACGTTTACCATAAACAGTTCTACCTCCATCAGGTGTACTTCATTGGAGAATTCATGGCCACAATTCCTCTGCAACACCGTTCACGGACTACTTGAACTCGGTCCTTTAGACCAACTCAATTTGATGATTCCGCCTGCGCTCTCTCGTTTGAACAGTGGCTTAAGGACTTCTATGATCTCACACATGCAAACTTTTGCCACAAGGTAATTTTCCCACCCACCCCAGTCCCTCCTGCCCTCCACGGCTTAGTCTGTGGGCTCTCAGCCGTTCTCCTTAGGATCTGGATCCGAGTCAGGCGCCGTTGGGCGTCAACAATGAATGACGATTTTGTGACCAAGTTCATAACTAGACCGCTTGTTCACCCCAGTATGAAAAGTTTGAGCCAATTCAGGTATAAGCACATTCTGAGGCCAATGCGAACATATAATGGCAAGTTTCTTCCTTCGTTATGGACTGCATGGTTGAGTTCTAGGCACCTCCTTAGATAAGGTTCGCGGATCATGATTTCAAATGGACTCCAAACGGAGGGAAATCGTCTTCAGTCCCCATGTAATCGTTAGCGCAGAACACTGGGACATTGGAAAGTGCGCAGCCCCAATTGCAGTTCCTCGACTTTAAGCCAAAGATTTGAATTCCCCTGAGCTTCATCTAGTGAGGTAAATCGATGCCTGGCGACGACCATATACACCTGCGTTTATTGGTGTTACGCTCTTTCGGCGTCAAAAATGTAGTGCCAAGCTAAATTGCAAAAATGTATTAACACAGGAAATCGAGCCATAAACCTATACAGTATTTGTTTGAGGTTACAGATAGTTACCAAACTCGGATCCTCCATACTTGTAAGCAGCATCCCTGACTGTAACGGTTTTTTGAGTTTCCATTCACCGTGCATGAGTGAATGTAACCGTTCCGCTGTTAAGAAGAGCATGCTGACTGAAAGGCTGCGCCTTGTAAAGAAACTTTTTCAGCTCCAGAGCTCTCGTTACCCCTTCTTTTTTCGATGCTAAAATGAATCTCATTACCACAAAAGAAGACAAGGTGAATGAATCCAACATCTGAAGAACGAAGATAAAGCATTCCGCGTTGATCAGATCCCGTATGCCTACGCGTGCTGCATTACGTCCAAAATCGTAGTGGCATTGTGAACGCAATTTGGCCCATACAATGACTTCAGGATGCCGGCGATGTACAAAACAGTGCTTTTATCGTACCAAACAAATCTGGTATTGAATAACCAACCCGGAAGGGATTTGGCTTGTAAACTTGCTATATGGCGTCCTTTGCCTCCGACACTTCGCTTTAATCCGCTCAATCTAACATAACATGCTGTCAGAAAAAAAACTGAAATTACTACACACTGTCGTCAAACAACTATCCAGAAGGCTCTTTCTCCAAAGTAGGTAGCGGAAGTTGGCACCATCATATGCAGTTATACTTGTATTTCAAAGCTACGTCAAAAATTAGAACCAGGGCAATATGAACAACCCTTTTCTAAGATGCGCGACGATGACGTCTTCGAGCGGTTGGGAATCACAATCATCTACCAAGAAAATCCATAAACTTCTTGAAATAGAATGATCGAAAGGGATTACTGTCAACCAGGTCATTCCTAGGCCGAGAAAGCGGGAATAAAGATCAAAACGACAAATTTTGACAAGTGGTTGACTAAATGGCTCCCACAATTCTTCTTATGATAGAAATAAAAGCTGAATACCTCTTAAATTCCTTAGATGTGGTTATTTCTGCCTCAAGGATGGTGGGTGGGAGATTTTTATTCAGACTAGAATGAACATTTTTCACCTACACACCTTGAGGCAGAAGTACAAACTATAAGTAAGTAACTATAAGTATAAACTATAAGTACAAACTACAAGTAGAAAATTAACACGAAAATTCCGAGCTTCCAATATTTGAAATTGAAGCCCTGTTCCCTCGAAAACGTCGGATTTCCTTCCGATAACCATTATGGTCGCTCATTCGCGCGATTGACCTATTTTGTGACAAATCCGACGAAGATCCCTTTTCAGACTTTAGGAAAAACTTCTTTGCTGCTGATCAAAGCTATCGATTTGGATGTAACGTTAGCCACCGGAATCATACTGCCAACCTCGTGCACAGTTAAGTCAAATAAACTCATACCATAACTATGCCGAGGTTCATCAAGAGTCGATCATGGCGAAAAGAATCAAGGTTTTGCACCTGAATTTCAATTCGAAGGATTGCTAGAAATGGGAAATGGTAAGCGCCGCGAATGAGTTCCTTGTCACATCGAAGGTTTCATAAAAAGATTTCATTTGTCCATACTTCCTCGTTACCTAGATCAGTTGACCCTAACAACACATGCGTCATTGAAAATGACTTCCTCCATAACTACACTGATTCGCTTATATGAAGATTAGAGAGACTTCCGCAAAGGTAGATCTAATCCTCAACGCATGAGCCGAACATTTGCAACGATACAGCATAAATAAGAGTGTGAAAAACGTTTTCGATCACTAAAACGGTTACCACACCACATAGCCAAAATTTTCTGCAATCCTTTGGATCAAGACCTTAAAATCATTGTTTCTCGACACGACTTTGTAGATAATACGCAGTTTTCATGTGACCGATGCGCTAGACTATCACCCTTCACAGCAAAACCCATTACAGCAATACTGAATGATAACAAATAAGGTTAAAAGAGAGCAAAATACCTGTGTGGTGTTCATTCCAGCAAACATAGCGTTCAATGCGTTCACTGGATCTTCTCCATTGGCCGATGATGTATTACGTTGAGCATTCGCGGAGGGTGCATTCGAGAAACCGCTTCCAAACATTCTGATATATACGGAACGAATGAGATATCTGCCGACTAGAACCCTTAGCAAGGGATTCAAAACATACAACAAAACTAGAAGACTTCACTGAAGGCTATCCACTATAAAAAATATGTTAATGAAAGCAGATACCCTGCCAAGGCCGGTGCCTCTCGTCGAAGAATATCCATGCCCTGTTGAACCATGCGCAGTGCTTCCAAAACACGAGGATTTGACATAGCAGCCAGAACGTCAGGATTAGACATCTACAAATACGAAATGAGAAAAAATAATCAAACAGTCTTTTTTTAAATCGTAAAGCATACAAGCAGATCCTGCAACAATGCAAAGCAGTCAAGTTCAGAATGCACCAACCATGTTCATCATGTTCGGGAGTTGTGCTCGAAGTTGTTCCGCTAGCTGAGGATTATTAGCTACCAAAGGATTTTGCTCCATGATCTGCAATGCAATTTTAAGCTATCCCGCATAAAAAAATCAAAGTCTTGTAACCACTCAGTAATAACTCGAATGGAAGAAACTGAGAAGAGGAGGGTGCTCGTTAATTGTGGGCATTTTCTCAAACTATTAGGCGGTTGCCTAAATTTTGGGCTTCGCTATTATCAAAAAAGGTCTTTATTTGAAAATGGTCCAACTTATTTCATCCAAAATTTTCGCGCTTTCATTTCTAAATAATGGGCTGGTTGCGCTGTGCTGTATCTACTCGAACAAATGGTAATCAAAAGACGCTACGATCAATGATTGGTGTTCAAAAAAACCACTAGCCTGAAGCGTTTTCCAGTGGTCATGTAAAATTGTGGCCGAACGCTGAGCTGGCCGCAGAAAAGGCCGATTTGTGAAGCTTTGAGTTTCTATTTACTTCCGTTTGTGTGTAATAATATCGGAACAGCTACTCAATAGTTTTGGGGTCGTCTGATTTTGATTTTGAATGCTCTTTCCAGGGAAATTTTGATAGCTTACTGCTCACCCAAAAAAAAAAACAAAAAAAAAAAAAAAAAAAAAACCTACTATCCAACAAATTTAACAGCAATGTTTTTGAAGGAACGTAACGCATGCAGTTAGATAAACATGGTTTGAATAAATCTAGGCAACATTTTGCACGCTATTAGAGAAGAGGATTAGTTTTCAATCACAGGGCGAATCACAAAAACAACGCTTTGTCCGTATCGGTAGCATTTCCGATTCAAAGTTCATGTAGGAGAGCAATCATAGTACAATTTCGACACGATCAGAAGGTTCCCGAATTTTTCAGCAGCTACGACAACAACCGAAATCACAAGACAAATTGTATATAATGTTAAGAAATACTCAAATTACCTGCTGCACGACTTGTGGGTTTTGAGAAATGCTTTGTCTAAATAAGTCCATCATCTCAGGACGCATCAGAGATTGCATAAGAGCTGGATCGGACATCATCTGCTCCATCAAAGAATTCATACCAGTTGATCCAAGAAGAGCTGAAGCAAGGAATTACGAAGGAGCGCCATGGTAGTCGTGATCCATAAATCATGACTGTGCCTATTCAACTCATAGCGAACACGTGCAACGAGAAAACTTCTTTTCAAAGTTGTCCCTCACTTCAATAAAATAAGGCTAAATAAATTACATGCTAAACCTCCTTCAGGAGCGGTTGCTCCAGTAGTATTGCTTTGTGTGTTCTGCTGAGAGTTGGCCGAACCACCGCTACCCCATGGATTTGGTAACGCTTCACTGTTTTCTTGGCCAGCTCGCTGACTTCGAGAAGCTGAAACCTCAGTACTATATACTGCAAATAAAAGATATGTTCGAAAGTTCTGAAGCGCATTTCTGAGTTCATACTCACCTGTTGTGTCTTCTCCTCGACGGAGTGATGCAAAAGGGTTACCAGCTAGAGAACTTGTGGCGCTATTAAGAAGTGGTTCTTGCACATCTTGGTATAGACGTTGTAGTGCAGCCTCACCTCCAGGAATACCCTGACAATTTGGAAAATGAAACAACACGCCACACTTGCGCCTAATGTAACGCAGAACTTCAGCACAAGTAGCCACTTCATCGATGCCGCATATTTGAATTCATTTTTGGCTACGCTTAGCCAAAAATAAAATCAACCCTGCTTTGGAATTTTTCTTTCCACACTGCACCATCGCTTGAGAACAAGGCTGCAGTTCGTAACGAATGTGATAGTACAAAATTGTTGGAAGCAAGCACTCATACCGAAAATAATCGTGGGAGTTCCCGGATAGAAGAGAAACTTGGCAATTAACTCCCAAGCGCTTTTTGCAAATAATTCGAATTGATTGAAAATATGGCTCACTAAAGGGGTTCTTCACTGAGTACAGAGTGAAACAAGAACGACTAACCTGAAGATTACGAATCGCGAGGTCATGATTGCGCATCATTTCTTGGAACATA